TAAACGAAAAATAATAAACAAATTTTTTAAGAGTTTTCAGGCATAAATCACAACAAGAAAAACTATAATAAGGTGAAAAAATTTTTTTTAAAGAAAATTACTGYGGCATAACGAAGGAATTTGTACTTTTTCGGTCACATTATTGCCAAATAAATTGAAAATTTATGCTTTTCTGAATTCTAATCATGCATCATCTGCATATATCATTTCTCAATAAATTAATTAATGTCGTAAACCAATATTATTTTTGTAATTTGTCAACTAATGTAAATAAACGCATATTTTATTTGTGATATGCCAACAAAAATCATATTTATTTTAAACAAAACTTAATGTAAATTATGCGAAATTGAAAATGTGCCTTCTAATTCTACGAAAAGCTAACAGTTATTAAAAATTTCGTACTCAAGAGCAAAGCAACAAGCATATGTAGTATATATATATAAACATATGTATTAAAAAATATAAAAAATATGAACACATAGGTATGAAAAAAGTCTATATCGCCTAATAGTTTTGGAATAGATATGTTTGTATGTATATAAATAGAAATAAGCACACATATGCATACATACACACAGRCATGTAAGTGCTTACAAAAGTGTAAGCAAAATTTGTAAATAAAATTGCGCTTAAATTTTACAGAATTTCRTGCAGGCATATTGTACATACATTCAAGCAATTATCTGAATACAGATATACATGCATACACACATACAAYTACATACATACATATATACATGCATGTAGCTAAGCGAGCGCATAAACCACTATTGCAATACTAACACAGCGCTGCTAACTAGTTTAGGCTAGCACTAAATAATAAAATGAATCTAGMAATGTTTATATGTATGAAAACGTCTGTCTGTCTGTCAGCATTGCAAATTATTGCCACTTCGTCAGTTAGCTGTAAACAGTACGTATATCTTTTACACAAATCAAACATTTATAAATTCACACAAAAATCCATTTGCCTAAAAAATGTAAAAAAAAAAAAATTAATTACAAAACAACTACAAAAACAAAAACATGTTTACATTGAATCATTAGTTATGAAATTATTTTGTTAGCAAAATGGAAAACTCGCTGACATATGTGAACAAGTGCACTCACTAACAAAAGTACACGACAAATATTTTTAATTGGCGTTGAGTGCAATAAATCATATTTAATWGTGTTGCTTTTTTTCTTATATTCCATTTTATTTTTTGTATCAACACTTCATACATTTTTATTTACAATCTTTTACACTTTCCACAACTGTAATTTTCATATGTATGTATGTATATCGCTTGTTTTGTATGAAAAATGTAGTTTTAGTGCGACGTAGCATACTTTTAGGGTAAACATATCGAAAATATATTGAACTATTATATGAAACATAATTTAATAAAAACAAAGAGTCCTGAAAACATAATGATTTAATTATATGTTTTTAAATATATATTTGAGTTTTTGATTATATCGTAAAATTATTGAGACAAGCAGGAATGAATTCGAAAACAATCCAGGTAAGTGAAGAGCTATAAAATACTCTTAAAAAAAAAACATAATAATTAGATAATGTAAATAAAATATAAATAATAGTAATCAGCTACGAAAACAAAAACTTAACTTCGCTTGCACCGACGCTATAATACACTTCACAAATACCAAATGTTACGCAAATAACTTGATTTTGAACGGTCAATTTGTATGGCAGCTATATGTTATAGTGGTCCGATCTAAACAATTTCTTCGGAGATGATACCATTGCCTTAGCTAATACACCATGCCGGATTTCGTC